TTATATTGTTGCTATACGTAAACATTTTGGAATAAACTATCCTATAGTAAGGTGTAAAGTCTTCCACTAGTAAAACTGTCAAAGCTAAATGTGCATGAAATATTTGAATAGTTTCCATGACAGTATATTGAATCAACAAATAAAATATCAATTTTATTATCATTAATACTGAATAAACCACACACTGGTTATATTATTGTACATGTCTATCCGTTCAAATCCTTCCATTTGCAAGATCTATATCAAATGGTTATCAACTTATCATAATTGATAAATTATACTCGTAAAAGTCGTAATATTGTTGCCGAACAAAAGCAACACCATCTTAATTTAAATTTCAAAAGCATTTATCTTCCATAACTTCAAAAGATCAAAACTAACAATATCCATCATATCTTAAGCCCCCATTTGTAAAAATCATCAATAATTATCTTAAAAACTGAAGATTTAGATAAGAATTAACCTTATTATTATTATTGTATTTTAACCTCCAAAGTTTAAGTTTTTATTACAGGTTGAATTCTGGTTGCTGGGCACTTTACTACTCTTCTACCGCTCATCTAGTGTTGCTCGTTTTCTCTCTCTTATCTTCATTTTCCCCAAATTTGCTCTCTTATCATGCCATCAAACAAGAGAAGAAGAATCAAATCGTAAGTTTTCTTGATTCAATCTTTTCATTTTCAATTGTAGTATTGCTTAATTTCTATGTTTATTGATTTTTTTTTTATTTGATTTTATGGGGTTTGAATAACTTAGGGTTTTCGTTTTTGAGATTGGAGCATTTGTAGTTTATTGTTAATCATATTCGAATTGGGTTTTATAGAATTTCAAATTTGATTAACTGTTAATCAACGATCTGCAATTCAAGTCCAGAAATTTATGTGGGTTTGAGTAATTCAATTGTGTGTAAACCGTGTTCATTGATCTGTTTCAATTGTAGATTATTCATGAGAAATGAAATTGGGGTTGTGGGTTGATTGATTTTGCTGATCATTGATGAAGTGTGATAAGTTTACTGGATTTTTGCATAATCATCTAGGGTTTAGAATTGGGATGTAGAAGATGAATACATTCGAATTGAGTTGTTGCATTTTGGCTTTTTATCCTATTTCAGATGTTTACCAGTCTGGTTTCCAATGGATTTGGTAGAAAGAGGATTAATCAACGAGGTTTTATCCGATGATTTATTTTTGGGTTTATCTTATAAGGAATGTCATTTATTTGTTTATGCATTGATATTTTAAGAATCAGGAGTTCAATGATTATATGTTCTGGATAGGTTGTCCGCGGCTATTAGAGATGACAGGAAGACTTCTGTTGAGGTGAAGCAGGACACACAGGAGCTGCCTTCCTGGTCTGATCTTCCTGCTGAACTTTTGGAACTGATTCTCTCTCATTTGACCCTTAGGGAGAACATCCGTTTTTCTGCTGTTTGCAAGAGATGGCACTCGATTGCTGTTTCTGTGCGCCTAGTGAACCAACCTCCCTGGATTATGTATTTTCCGAAATTTGGGGATCTTTATGAATTTTATGACCCTCTCAGCCGCAAGACTTATTCTATTGAATTAGCAGAGTTGAGTGGATCAAGAGTCTGTTACACAAAAGGTGGTTGGCTACTGTTATACAGACCCAGAACTCATCGCCTATTCTTTTTTAACCCCTTCTCCCGGGAGTTGATTAAGTTGCCTAGATTTGAAATCACTTGCCAAATAGTTGCTTTCTCTTGTGACCCAACATCTCCGAACTGTGTTGTGTTTACAGTGAAGCATGTTAGCCCTACAGTTGTTGCTATTAGTACTTGTCATCCGGGGGCAACAGAATGGACAACTGCCAATTACCAAAATCGCCTGCCTTTTGTCAGTAGTATATGGAACAAATTGGTTTTCTCTGATGGGCAATTTTATTGTCTTAGCCTAACTGGATGGCTTGGGGTTTTTGATCCGAAAGAGCTTACTTGGAATGTCCTGGTGGTGCCTCCTCCGAGATGTCCAGAAAACTTTTTCACAAAAAACTGGTGGAAGGGTAAATTTCTGGCAGAACATAATGGAGACATTTTGGTGATCTACACCTGTTGTAGTGATTACCCAATCATATTTAAACTTGATCAGACGAACATGGTATGGGAAGAAGTAAAAACCTTAGATGGGATTACTCTCTTTGCAAGCTTTCTTTCATCGCATTCAAGAACAGATCTTCCTGGAATAATGAGGAATAGTGTTTATTTTTCTAAAGTTCGTTTCTATGGAAAACGATGCATATCATATTCCCTGAAGGACTGTAGATACTATCCTCGCAAGCAATTTCATGACTGGGGAGAGCAGGATCCATTTGAGAGCATTTGGATTGATCCGCCTCAGGACCTCTCTATCTTCATGTGATCGTATGACAAATTCTGTGAGTTTTCACTTTAATACTTGTCTCACCTTGCATTATTTTATTCATTTTAGTAAATTTTGTTGCTGTGAACTTATAGTAGATATCCAACTACGGCAGTCCTTTTCGTTCCCATTTTCATTTCTTGAGTACATGTTATAACCTGCACCCCATGAAAGCTTGGTGCCATAGTGGTTTTAATTGACTCTTCTTTTGTTTCTCTGAGTTCTACCTACCTAACCCATACTTGCACCTAGTGCCACTCAGTAATTATGATCCTCTGTGCACCATTCGGATCCCCATGCTCTTTCAAATTATAAAACTCCTTAATAAATGTAGTTTGCTGATCTTGGTTTGATTTAGCCCAGTTGTGATTTTTGTAGTTAACTTTTGCTAAGTATTTAAGCATGGCTCTTGCAGTCTTGCTGAAAGTAACCTGGTCACACTATTAGTTATGTGTGCTAATTTCTTGTTTTTGCATAACTGGGCTGTCTTCTCAAATATTTCTTCTCAGTTGTAAACTCAATTCATCAGAAACCCATAGAGGACTAAAGACCTCTTTTACTTTTTTTTTTTTTTTTTTTTTGTGGGGGTACTTTTAAAACCACATTTGAACGTGTTAAGATACATGCTGCTGAGGTGCAAGTTAACTTGTTGGTATAAACCTGGCTAGCTAAGAGCCAGTTGGGTGTGAGAATATGTTAGCTATTACCAATTAATTTTATTTTTCATTGGGACAGAATTTAAACTTTAAATATCCTCAGACCTCTCTCTTGTAGTAAATTGGTAATGAAGATGTTTGCTCGCATAACCATGAACTTTGTGAAGAGATTGATCATCTGCTGAATGTGCCTTACATTTTTCCTACCTCCCCCCTGGCCCCTCCCCTCCCTGCAGGTGAAAAAGAGGTTAGGGGAAAAAACCAATCTGACAGTGATCCATCTGGCTTTTCTGCAGGTAAATTATGTTTCAGTTATATCTGAAAATTTTGCGTTGCTCCTAATGCCATGTTCCTCGATGATAATAAGGAGCAACTGTAAGAGAATTCAGAGCCCCTGGATCTGAATAAAGGAGTTTTGGACAGGACAATGCTTGTAGCAGTAGATGTTTTTTAACAGTGGATAGTTTTTTTTTTGTGAAATTAGTGTTTTAGAAGAAGAATAATAGACATATTAGCAAAGTTCACATGTTTTGTGTAAAAATTGAGAGATTGCACCCTTTATATGGTGTCTATATTATTTGTTTAGAGGACTGATACATGTTTTTTTAAATTAGTTGATTAGAAGCATAGTGGTGCCGACCAAGTCTGTAGTCTCATTGTTTGGCAACTCTTGCTAGATCATACCTTAATAAATATATTGTGCTATAATACAGAATTCTTCATTATTTCTGAGCCACAACTTTGTCTATTTCAAGTTGATGTCAGCTAACTTAGTTGCAAGGAACTATGCTATAGTCTTCTTGTGATTGGCCATTCATTTCTAGTTGTGCAAAAACCTAATTCGAGTGCTTGGAGATCCTTGAGACTGCAGTAACATAAGCACACACATTATCAAAAAAGAGGCGAGGAGCAGAGGGAAGACATCTTCCCAAGTTCATCGAAACTTACCAATTAATCACGGAAGCTTAAAATCATAGCCCCGGTTCACCAGCAGGCAGTTGTAATCAAACTATCTGTTTGCTTCTAATCCTGTGGCAGATCAGTACATGATAACTGCGCGTGGTGAAGACTCTGAAGAACATATTAAGGCTGTACGTCCTGCGATGTTGATGCCTCAGTCTCTTTGTTAGCTTCTCCAATTATAATTCTTGTTCTCTATGTTGTTTTTCCGACTGTATGGCTTTTGTTTCAGTTATTCACTTCCTTTGTTTCGAAATTATAGGTTTTTTTTTATTCTTTTTTTTGTGACAAGGGAAATTATAGTTGCGCTTTTCTTCCTTAACCCGTTTTTAAATACGAAGTACTTCGTATTTGATTTTACTTTCACTTTTTCTTATGTATGGCACGTTATTTAATTACTTCTTTCCAAACATTCCACTATAAGTTAGCACTCACCACTTTTTCATACTAAAAGTTTATGCTATACAATTCAAGCAGTTTTGCTAGTTCATTATTGTTTGGAATTTTTACTAGGTTAGTTGGGTGGAGGGGAATTCAACTCAGTTCAATAATTTGGCTAGTAAATGATTAATATAGGGTATGCTAAAATAAATATGACACTCGGTAGTACAATTTTGGAACGACGGTAGTAGAACTAATAAATACTCCAAAAAAGTTAAATATTATAATGATCCTAAGCAGATTGGCCAATGTGTACCTTCTTATAAATGTCACCCAAAAAATTGGTGATTGGAAATATTTCATCCAATTCAATGGACATATACTTCCTCCATCTTTTAATACTTACAACATTTCCTAAAATAGGAATGTTATAATACTTGCAACTACTATAATTAGAAGGTTTTTTTAAGTAGAAAGTGGTACTATTACCGAGGAAGTACATTAACATTCTAAACCCAATTCCACAGCTTATTTGTGTAATCGTGTTAATTTATTCGCTAAGTAAACTGGAAAGAAAGTATTTATAGTTTTGTAGAAATGTTAGAAATCCTACAGAATTCATCCATTGTCAAAACTATTTTCAACGGTAATAACCATGAGAAATAATTACACAAGCATTGAGCATATGGGCATAAAGATTAAAGGCATCGTTCACTACAGTACAATGCAAGAATCCACCTACCTTCAAATCCTTGCCCTGCCCCGAAAGATCATCGCCTAAGACTTCGTCGAGTATACATTACCATTTGTAACTAGACATGACATTAAATTAATAGACAAATCCACAAGATAATACAGGTTGATTTCATTTTTAGAGTACATAATTCCTGCAATCCTAACCATAAATTAAATTTGTTACAACTGTCAAAAACGAAGATTCCAGTCGCACCATCCAGATAGAGAGTGGAAGGCCTCAGCAGCTTAACCTCAGTAAGGGTTGTAACGACTCCGTCCCCGACCACCGCTGTTATAACCACCCCGCTTTCCTCCACTAGAAGAGGCCCCCCTACCACCACCACCACCACTTCTACCGCCTCGATGTTGCTGTGGAGGGGGGGTCTGTGGATGCACTCCAGGTTGTTGCCTACAGCCAGATAACAAGGCATTTTACATGTCAGAGGAAAACCACACATCTCAGAGCAAAGAGGAACAAGGAACAAAAATTCATGTTATTACTATGAAGTTCAACATGGAAAGATATGCAAAGGGATAAAGGTCAAATGCTGCATACTTGTGTACAAAACTGAAGTTGAATTTGTGTGTCATTGAACCTATATCCGGCTATATGCATTGAGTTGTAAGTGTAACACATCAAATTATAGAGTTTGCTCTAATACCATACTACTCGTGTCGCACAATTAATTTACCCATAACTATTTTGAGCATGGAGCATCAGAAGTATTATCTCCAGTCATATCATTGTATGATTTCAAAGACGCACCATTTTGAGATCAAAGGGCATCTTCATTTTGCACAAGTAATTTAAAGAATATTTGGTTGAGCATAAACCCTCCATGTTATTTAGAAATCCATGCCTTGTTGAGCATTGAAGGCTATTATATTTCTAATCCCCCAAAACCCTCCAATTCTATAACTTGTTTATTTACATCGAGCTGCTCCACCAAAAGACAATGGTGATTGCATTGTGTTACATAGTTCAAGATCAAACATTAAGGAGACAAAGGTCCCAACAATCCCAAAGTTCCATCTTAAGAGCCTTAATATAATCACAAATAAGCTCCTGTAACTTGTTAGAATATTGGCCTAGCAATTGGATGAACAGGCCAATGCATCTCCATTTTCAGTAGTTGAAGCAATGTTCCATTGTTTGCCAAATTTCCTAGTATTCTCTTGAATCTAAACTATGGGCCACAAAAATCAAGCTCCAAGATACCTGATAATTTGTACCTCCAGATTCCAGTTACATAGCACTCATTGCCTTCTGCCACAGCACTATGGAATACAGTGCATAACTAGTCCTATCATTGGAAGCCCATAGAGGACAAAAGTTCTCTCTTACAGTTTTTTTCATCTACTGCATATTTTTTATTTTTTTGGTACTTTTGCTAGTAGATGATATATGGACTTAAATCTTCTTCAGATTGTATCAGCATACCGATACTAAACACCAATATACTGGAGCACAATCAAATTTCAAAAAAGTCACACGACTTTCTGAACAGCAGTTTTAACTTCCTTGGAAATAATCTAAACTGTAAGGCACCAACAAAATGAAATCGTTTTTAATGTTGAAAATAAGTACTCCATAAGAATGGCTATTATATCCTTCCCTGCCTCTAAATACCATTGTCTTGCATATAAAAACTTGAGAGTTGCTGAAGGTATTAAGTAGCACATAAAGACGAGATTTTGATTTGACCAACCTCACAAGCCAAGGACTGACCTACAAGGAATTATATGGAAGGAGTGCTGCAGTCACACTTGCACACCTCTGAATCTAGATACAGGAGTACTACTAGTCAACCAGCACTAAGTTTGAAAGTTCTAGACAATACAGGCCTTTATCCTAAGAAAAATCTAGTAGCCCGAACAAAATATACACCAAATTCTGACATTTCTTTCCAGAATGGGAGATTGCCATTTGAAACTCAGAAAGAAGGAATATGTATAAGAGAGCAGTAATTGTTCAGCAACAACAAACGTAAAGCAGCAATGTTCTTTCTTTTATCCCAGTTAATTAAGAGAAGTGGGCAGGGCCGCAGGGGAGAGAATTAACAACCCAAACTAAGACGATTAAAAGGTAAAAAGTAGAAACTTGAAAAAAAAAAAAAAAAAAAAAAAAAAACATGAATCAACAGTAGTAACTTACAGTACATATCCAATCCTTCCATCTGGTAGAAGCATCGGCATCATTGCCATACCAGCAGGACCTGAACCTCTCCCGCCGCCATAAAGTAGTGGCTGAAAAAAAACAAGACTAAACGTCAGAATTCAACCTGAATAACAAGGCACAGGGAACAGACTGGTACATCAAACTTCAAAAAAATTATAATAGAAGTTAACAATAAAAATATATCACTTCTCATTTTGGTTAATGCTTCAATTATGATCATTTTATGCAAGACACAGAAAAACAGATGCAAAATTAAAACCTCAGTTATGTTATGTAGCATCAGAAAACTTTCTCAGAACTATTGAACAATAAAACCTTATTCCCAAAATGATTTGGGGTCGGCTAACATGAATCGTCATAAGGAACCTTCCAAAAACAAGGTGCAGACAACATTAAAGCTACTAGAACATTTACCCACATCCAATCCATATAATACTCCCTCGATTAGAATAAGGCAATATTTTCTGATTACCTATCATAAAAGGTACTTTAAAAAAGCACATTGGAAAAAAAAAAAAAAAAAAAAAAAAAAAGAAAAGAGCCCAAATCCTCCCAAGGCAATGCTAATACAATCCATATAATACTCCCTCAATTAGGATAAGACAATATTTTCTGATCAGCTATCATAAAAAGTTACTTTAACAAAGCACAAGGAAAGAAAAAAGAGGGGGAAAAAAACACGAGCTCAAAGTCTCAAACCCTCCCAAGGCAATGCATAGACTTTAAGCTTCCAACACTTTTTCTAGGACAATTGCAATGTTCTCCCTCACTTGGAAAAAAACAGAACCAAAATTCATAACAATAAAAACTCAAGGATTCCTCAGCTCGATTCCATTCAAATCACTTCTAGATTGCAAAAACTAAAATCATAATAATCCAGGGTTTATATTGTAAATGTTCTAAAAGACTAAAATGAAAAATAGCTGCAGATATGCAAATCTTAACTCTCTAAAACGCTCAGGTGCACCTCTTTGAATGCACCTCGCCTAGATTTGAAAAAAGTTTTCTACCCCAATCATCTAGTGCTTAAGGCACGCCTTAGACAAGCTCTTTCATATACTGCTCACTCTATTGAGTTAATAATAGATAAATATTTGCAGATAGGCAATTCTAAAAGCTCCCTCTATTCCTTTTAGTAGCTCCTGCCTTTTTTTTATTCAATGTTCCTTTTTGTTTCATTATGGAATATTTCCTTTGATGTCCTACAATTCCCACTTTAGCCCTTAAAATCTTTCCCTTGTCATTATTAGACTATTGAAAATCCTATCATACACTAACTCCTCCCAAACTAACCAATTAAACCCCAATTCCCCACCCCCTCTTCTCTAAAGTCTCTTCCTCTTGACCATCACAACCAACTTCACCAGCCAACAACGCATGAAACCCCAACGTGAGATCAATCCATCTTCCAGATACAACTCACTACAATATAAACTCCAGCCTCCTCTGCTTCTACCTTGTGGCCGGCCCCCTCTCTCTCCCTTGTCTAACCACGACTATGCCACCGCCATCTCCAATCTTGAATGCCACGCTAGTTCCAAACGGTTCACTCTTGTCCTTATGTTTTAATCTTCTGATTGGAGTTTTACAAAAGTTTAAATTGTGGTGGTGTGAATTTTGGTGTTGTTAAGTTCTTGGGGGAGTCGAATAGAAACCTAGGGGATATGTATTGACTATTAAACTAGCAAAAATCCCCAAATTAGCATCCTGACTTCCTGAGCTTTTTCAAATATGAAGATTCCAATAGCTTGTGGCTTTTGAAACCCTTTACATGACAAGAAACACAAGAGTGCCAAGGGAACAAAATCTATTAATTTGGGTTATGCAAAATGAAGCAGAATGATCCTACAGCTAAAAGTTCATCAAAATCATAACTGAATAGAAAAACAAAGAAATTAATATCATTTTAAAAAATTATAATAAGGTTGCAGAAAATTCTTTGTGAAGGGTGAACCAAACATGTGATACAGTCACAATAGTTCCCATGCCATGCAACTCCTAAGTTATAACTCACTCTAAACAAGTAACAATCATTGGTCCAATTTACCAACTCAAATCACAACTATAAATAATTTGACATAACAGAAAGTCTAAAAACCACATCAGACACCACCATAATGGCCTTTAAGGATGATAATATAGTATGAAGTCAATTTTTCTCCTCGCAATTTAAAAGAAATTCTTACTTGAGTTAGGCCTGGAGTCCCTGGACCACCATATCCTGCACCAACAGCACCAAATCCCCCACCAAACATGCCACAGCCAACACGAGGCCCGTAATTAGGAAGTAAAGCCAATCTCTGATGATTGGACCCTGATGATGATTTGTCAGCCTGTGGCTTTGCCAAAGAGCAATCTAGAACTTGACCTGTGACCCCCAAAAAAGCAATTAGCAGCATGCATTAGAGGATATAGAATCCAAGAGAATCCATCAGGACCAAACAAGCGAACCAACAATATTACCTTCAAGTTCATATCTACCGGTGTTCTTCAAAGATTTCAAAGCACTTGACCTTTCTTCAAAATGCACAAAGCCAAATCTGCTGTTCTCTTGCCCAGCTTTTGCAGGTGGCAAAACAACTTTGGTAATTTTCCCATGTCGCCCAAACAAATCCTTTAACATATCTTGCGTGACATCTTTGGGCAGGTTCTTGACATAGACAGCCTTAACCTATCAATTTTACCCACATGAAATTCAATTACTTACACATACACTTCACACCATGAACCAAATTCAAATCAACAGTTAAGAAAATTACAAATGATGCAATCTGTCATTATTACACATAAAAATACTTGTATAATAATAAAGGCTCAATGGGCTACTTAAGGGATAAGTATATCCTGACTTCAAAGACATCTTTCCTACAAGCCAAAAGTTCATAATTTAGGGGTGAAGTGGTGGCTCGTAACTTCATAAGTCATAAAAAGCATGCCACAAAACATAGCAAACAACATATTTAACAATCAGTAAGGAGACTAAGGAGTAAGGACTATACTCAATGTAGTGCACTCATGCCAATAAAAAGTACACCTACATAGAAAAGCAAGCATTCTCAAGCCAATAATTAGATAGATTTATCACTGTATTAGCAATTTTTTTTATATCACCATTATCTGATACAGCCAAACATGATGTTGGATATAGCATAATATTCCCCAATCAGTTGATGCATTTAATAAAGTACATAGGCTGCATCTTTAAAATGTAAATCCAACTCATAGAGTGTGTTATAAGGCAGGCAGCACAAATATGAAATGGCAATCCAAGAGCCTATAAGAATCCATGATTATCACATATATTAACAAGATTAAAAAAAACACAAGACCTGACAAAATACACTACCAAAGGTATAAAATTTATGCACCTTAAGACACTCTAAAGGCTATCATCCACAAAGCTTTGTGCCTTGGTACACTGAGACACATTTTATTATATATAAATCTTCCCTCTGTCCATACATTAACTAAGTAATTGAAAAGGCACAAGACAACAAAATCATAGCTACTTTTTGATGGTAAAATGCTAGAAGAAATCAAGTACTGTAATTAGGTATCCCAGAAATTATTTGCAGGCCTCTTAAAATTACTAATTTGAACAAAAAAACAATGACACAGATAATTCAACACTTGTGCAGGGAAAAGTAACAGAGTAAGATACCTCAGAAACTCCAGAAGATTCTGCATTTGATCCGCTCTTAGGACTAGGGTCAGCCCAACTGACTGTAGGAGACTTATCACCAAGCCTGAAATCAGCTTTTGACATCTTCTGTCTTGCATAGTCAGCACAAGCATGATTATAGTACTCAATGAATGCAAATCCACGGTTACGACTGGAATTTTGTAGGTCCTGCAATTATATATCAGATAACCACATTAACAAGAAGAGTATCAGTAAAACATGCCCAAATTATAAAGAAAATTAAGATATACAGGATGCAAAGGAGATGCATTAAAACCTTCAGGAGTTCAATAGCAATCACTCCAGGCCCAAACTCTGAAACCGCATTCCTTAAGTCTTCTTCTCCCAAAGTTTTAGGAATATTACCAATAAAGAGCTTATGCTTAGCTTGTGAGGAGGAACATCTTACTTTCTTGCCCTGAAAAGATATACAAAAAGGTCAACCTACTATAAAAGTGATAAAGCCTCCATCTATCTTTTTACAATTATCCCCTTTCCAATACATTGATGAGGCCTTCTGAAATGCACCATTACTGTTCTCAAATTAATCAGCATGTATAACTAATTTGCATTAGCAATTAAGTAGAGACATATATTTAACCATATTAGATGCATACAAGTACTCATGAGGTGTATTCTAGATGAAAGCCCTCTTATAAGATAGAACAACGAAGAAAGCAATCTCAGGTTACCTTCAGTTCAGTGCCATTCAATTTTTCCATAGCTTTAGAGGCCATCTCCTTTGACCTGAACATCACAAAAGCATATCCTTTGTTTTCACCTGGCTCTTTACCTTTCATTATCCTGACCTGTAGTCACAAACAAACAAAGTCAAAAACATGTCATCATTCTACATCTAAACCAGAGTAGAGCACACTGAAACAAAAAACGTACCTCCACGACTTCTCCTATAGATTCACAAAATCCCCTCAAATCTTCCTCGGTAGCATCTTGAGGTATATTACCAATATAAACTTCTGAACCATGAGGAGGAAGTGCAAGGAGCTCAGCATGCTTTTTTTTGTCATCCCCTTCCACCATATCAATATCAGCATCACACGCTTTTTCAGTACCATCAGCCTCTTCCTCTTCTTCTTCTTCTACTTCTTCCTCTTCCTCCTCTATCTCTTCCACCTCCTCTTCTACCTCCTCCTCTTCTTCCACCTCTTCCTCCACTTCTTCTTCCACTTCTTCGTACTCAACCTCTTCCTCTAATGTTTCTTCAGGATCATTTTCCCCATCCAAATCTACCTTCTCCTCATTTTCAATCTCCTTTTCTGGTTCACTGGCCTTCTCATTAGTATCTGGGACTGTAGCTGCTGCTGCAGCGGCTCTCGTCCTCGGCATCTTGTAAATCTAATCTGGAAGGCTTGCTAAATTGCTGTGGAGGAAGCACAGAAGCCGGGTGCAACCCAAAAAAGAAAGGAGAAAATGGTAGAAAGGAGGAGCAAATGAAAGGCCAAAAGGAGTTGCACGGTAAGAATCTCAAATGAATCTGTGCCATGATTTACGGCACCAAGGAGTTTGAAAACTGAATGAACAATAGAACTAACAGAAACAGGCAAGAAAGAAAACTGAATGACAAAGAAGAGGATGAGGAGATGCTCAACAGGTGCAAACAATGAATTTTAATCCGATAATTAGATAGGGACTTCTGCCCCAGACAAGCAAAAGGCAAGTTTTAAGTTTACATCTAGCGATTATAACAATGGATACAGATCAAGAGAAACAAGAAAAAAAATATAGTAAATAATGTGAAATTGGTATCGAGGTAGCTTTATAGCTAAGAAAATCGCAACATTAATTCCATGCTTGGGGGTAATAAGAATCCACTGCCCAGATTTGATAAGCCGAACATGGGGAATTATACAGGAGGGGCGGCCGCCCTAGGCCCAGGGAAAAGAGATTTAATTTCACATTCAATTATCTCCAAAAATACATAATTTTAGGGATATTTCATTCAATATTCTAAGAATTTACGAACCCTAAACTTAAAGCACTGATAATTAAATTAGATTAGACCAAATGTAAACCCTAGATTGTGAAATTGATGCGATGATAACAACAACAAACAGCTTACCTTAGAGGCTGCTTCAATGGGGGATACAAGAATTAGATTCAGCGGAGAACGCTTCAATGGAGAACGTTGAGTGCGCTTCAATGAAATAACTCAGAGAGGTAGGAAATAGGAATGGAGGCCTTTAAAAGCCATGACCCGCCATAGTTATAATATGGGTCGGATAAACAAATGGGTGTGGATCTTTATATGATCGTCTAATTACGAAATAAGTGGGCTTTATAAAGGTTTTAAGTAAACATGTTTTAAATATCATTAATAATAATATATATATATATAACTATATACTAAAACACACATCAGCAATGATACGTGTCATTTCTTGATGTGTCCTTAATTATTATTTTTTTGAAAAAAAAAATCAATCATAGAATAAAATCTTATACAAAAATAATTTATTATATATGTTAATAACAAAGATAATTACTTTAAATATAAAATATGTGATTTACCTTTTCACACAAACATTTATGACTATAATAGAAAATATTAATATGATTTGCGACATATAATGATTTACTACACGAGACTATTTATATTTTTTTTCCCATAAAGTTGTTTATTTATTGATTAGAATTCACAATAGAGTAGTGCATATACTTTTACTACCCCTTGAATGATAATAACCCCGCTCTTCCCCTTCTCTAAGTGAAAATGACTATACTTCATAATATTAACATAAACACACACAAAAATCTCATGAAGATCAATATTACAGTATCATTTATTGCCCTCATCCAAAACATGTTGATGCTATATATAATTATGTATTTGAATACAATATCTACACATCAATATTTCAATTACTTAATAGACGATTTTATTACTTTGTATTTAAGAATATCAAATTATTCAATTTATACTTATTAGATATATCCACTTATCTTTCATATTTTAATCAAAGATTGTCCATAGTGTTTTTAGATTTTTTGTTTTATTGTTGTAAAATAACCAATTATATTGAAAAGTTGATATTAATTTATTAAAATTGTCGTGCATAGCACGAGACCTAACCTAGTTTTTAATATTTCCATACACCAAAGCTTGTATCAATTCTTTGTAAGTTTTTTAGATTTATTTTTTTAAAAAAAAAAAACAGTTGAAATTACATTAATTAAACTGAGTTTACAACAAACGAAAGGACAGTAAAGTAACATAAGTTACTATTGGCATAAGAAGCCCTTACACAATACCAATTAAGGTCATTAACGATATTTACCTTTAAGCTATTACAACGAGTGAGGACAACACATATAAGGCTTACCTATATACATTTAAACATGTTATGGGACTATTGATAGAACAAGGGAAGTTGTTGATGATGTTTCGTGTTGTGCAAGGTATTTTCTAACATACAACTAAAAGTATATGAATGTTGCTGAAATGACGGAGACAACCCAAAATCAGTATGTCTTACCCTAAGGGACCCCTGTAATTCAAATGGATAAAATTTTCTTGAGATCTATGCTTCATAGTTCATACATGTCAATCACATTTCTTGCAATCTGACAAAACCATATCTTTATACTCCCTCCGTCCCATAATATAGTTTCTATTGTGTTTTTTACACGGTATTTAAGAAATGGGAGAAGAAGTGGAAAAAAGCTAGACAAAAGTTAGACAAAAGTACAGGGCAAGTGGATAATTTAAGGGGGAAAAAGTGAAAAGTGCAATTATAGACAAAAGTTAGAGAGAGAGTGAAAAAAGTACAGTGCAAGTGGATAAGTTAAGGGTAAATTAGAAAGTTCAATGAATGAAGTAAAAAAATAAGGGTATAATGATCTTTACATACTATTCAAAAATAGAAACAAGAACAAAATTTTGGGTTTCTAAAATAGGAAAACATAAACTATATTGTGGGACGTAGGGAGTATATATTCTCATACAAGGTCATGATGTTGTAATGACTTTTACCGTTATCACATACAAATGGGTTTAACAACACCTACTACCATCCTCCTTCAACAAGGGTTTATGTAAATCTGAAATTGAAATTTTGCTACATCTCCCAACAAACATAAGTAACACCACTTCCACTAAAGGAACACATTTTTATCAAAACTAAAGAGATTAAAAAGTGCAATTCCAAGAGTCAAACGACTCCATTTCATCCTCCAATTAACCTTGAATTCGACTTGTCTTCACTTTTCAATCTATTATATTGGGTGCTCATGAAATCTAAGTTTTATTTTTTAGAAAAATTCACTTTAATTTATTAATGTGAACTTTCAGCGATTTACTCTCAATAATTCCAGCTTACATTTATTATGGAGCACTATGAACTTTTTGGGTTGATTTTCTTCCACTAGGTCGATTTACCAGTAACTTAAAGAAAGGGTTAATATTATTTTGTAAAAGTTATGTGTGATGTGTCGCAACATAATTGGTCCAAATTTTTTTTGTAAAACAAGAAAAAAAAATAATTAAAAGCCCTTCCTAGCCACCATCCTTCCTCCCCTTAGCCCCAACCCCTAGCTCGACCGAAATTCGACCGCCCCCCACCCCTAACAATCAATAACAGCCGGTCGGCCCCTCCTTACCCCTAAAACCACTCAGGTGACCCACCTACACCATCGAAACCACCCCCCTTCCCCCCATCCCCAAAATAGCCCCGCTCTTCTCAGGTCGATGAAACTGCCCCTCCTCCCTTCCCTTGTCGTCGAAACGACCGATTTTTTAGCCCCCTCAATTGGAAATTATTGCCAAGAAATTAAATGTAGTTGTATTACTCAAGGTTTTTGTGGTAGATTTTTTTAGATTTTTTTTTTTACAAAAAAATAAAAATAAATAAATGGCATTTATTGTTCTCAAAGTAGTCATTATAATGGTAGTTGTTGGTAAAATTTTCTTAAATTTTCACAAAATTATCCTATATCTAAAGTATAATACTCCCTTTGTCCCTTTTATTGGATACGTTTTGACTTTTACACGTTTGTCAATACACCTATTTGATTATTATTCCTTACATACTTTTTAAAATTATAACGATTGAATTTTAATAGAGCATTCGTTGAGATGAATCAAACATGATCTCACGTGACTCTCTTACTTTTGTGAGTAAATTTGAGCATTATCTAATACTCTCTCTATCTCAGAATACATGACACAGTCAACATTGCACACACATGTCAATGCACTACTTTGACTTTATTTGTATATAATTAAATATTAATGAAAATTATATTTTGAAACTTTATATATATACCTATTTAACAACATATTTTATGATAAAATATGTTTTTATTTTGTTAGTAAAAAATTATGATCTAAACTAATACATGAACAATGAAAAAAGTCCAACGTCTCATATATTTTGGGATGGAGGGAGTATTATGAATAATGTTTAAAATCTAAACATAACCAATAAAAAGAAACGGAGGAAGTATTATGAATAGTATTTAAAATATGATAATAACCAATAAAAAGAAACGGAGGGGTACCCTACAAAATTAATCATCCTAAAGTTTTTGTCAAAAAAAAATATCATCCTAAAGTAATTGAAACACTTTAATATACATTTTTGTTGATACAGAAAATTATTTTACCTTTAATAATTTTGCTCGTATATTTATTATAATTAGTTGATACTATGAAATTTTATACAATGTATCAATTTTTTTGTGCATATTATTTATGAATTCAAGTCAATCTCCTAAAAATTATGCCGATTAAAGTGATGCGCACTTTAAAAAATGGAGGGATTATTTTCCTTGCATTAAATGTCTGAATTTATTATAAAATGATTTATTATAATTGTAGTTAAATAAAGATATCTTAATGAATGTTATTTTTTTATAGTAATTATTTATATCAAAGTTATCAAAATTGAGATTCCATTTTGAATTAGAAGGGATTCAAAATTATTAGAAAGCTAATTATTCAGTGAGGTCAAGTGATCGGAATGCCTAGGTGGAGGCCGCTTCCGATCAGTAATATTAATGTATAATTAATATTACAGATTTACAGCTTAATCTTGACTGAACCCTTCGGGTCACACCCCAATCGAGTAACCAATCCGAAACGACGAATCAATCCGAAGAATTAGATGAGTCATTAGAGTATTACGTACAAAGACGTCGAATATCGAGCTTAGAGCGTCATAAGTCGAGTCAAATTTAGAATTTGGCGAGACGAGAAATCAAGCAAACGACAAGTTCAAGCTAAGTCGTAGCTTCGCATTAGCCTAGCCAAACGAAGGCTAGGCTAGCATAGGGCACCAACTGCATCGCATGGCTATGCCGCAAGCTTAGCTTGCTGGCCGAGCAAGCTTGCAAGGCTGGTGCACCTGGCCGCATGCATGCTAGCAACTGGCGCGCCATGCGTGCTAGCGTGCTAGTGTGTTGGGCCTCGCACCCAGAGGTAAGCAATGCAGCAGCTAGGCTGCGCTTAGCACGAGCATCGCATAAGCAACAGCAGCTCGCTATGCGTGCTTGTGCTACGGGCCATGCATGCTTGTGTGTTAGGCAGCGTCGTATAAGCAGCAGCAGCCCGCATGGCGTGCGTGGCCTGCTGGCTGAGTGTAGGCTTGTGCGTGCGTGCTGGCTGGCAGGCTCGCATGGAAAGATGATTGAAGTTTTGGGAGCCTTTGCCTATAAATACCAACTTTAGAAGTTGGGATTACTCACTTGAGTTGAACTCAATAAGGCATCTCCCAATAGGTGAGAAAACCTTTAAGTTCGTAATACTCTAGTATTATTTTGGTCTAGCCCCGACTAACCTTTGGGGTAGGGACTGTTCGAGTCGGGTGTTGAGGGTGAGAGATGTTGGAGGCTTACGCATTTGCGAAGCTAACTCTTTCAAGTATGAGCTCTAATAAGAGCGAAGCACACGTCAAGGGTATGATCGTCTTTCTCTCTCTCTTAGTTAATTAAATATGTGATTGTTAATTAATATGCATGTTTAGTCACATTAATTTGTGTGCGGATTTTTGGAGGGTTTTATTCCGCGTAGTGTCGGACACTACGAAACCCAACATGGAGACCTTTAAATCATCTTGTCACTAGTTGATAATCAAAAATCCAACAATTTCTCTTTGATTTTCCTCACTTTCTCTCTCTAAAAATTACTCCTAAGCTAAACCCTAAAAACTAGAGAGAGAGCTAAAACTAATTAAGAGGTTCATAAAACTAAGCTCCCTTTTCTTATTACCCTAAAATGGGTATTTATACAAAGTTAGGAAAATAGAAAATAAAAGGGGAAAATAAATAAAGAAAGAAAAAGAAATTAAAAAGAATTAGGAAAAGTAAAAGAAAAATAAAATTATAAAACCCCCAAATCCCACAAAAACCGTCAGACCCTCCTTTCTTCTTCTTCGATTCTTGGCTGCTCTAAAAATGGGGAATGATCCCCTGCACCTCACTTCACCAAGCTCCACAATCAATCATCATAATTGAATCACCACCATTCATCCTCAACAGCAATTATCGAGCATCAAATCAAGGCTATTCGATCTTCATTAAAATCACGTGCGAAGCTCGTGAAATGGTTCAGTCAAACCAAGGGTAGGTTCGGCCGAACTATGAGTTGGTTCGATCGAACCATGGGTGTGTCCGACCGAACCTCTTCAAACTAGAAAACTTCTAATGTTTAGGGCTCTTTTGGCACTCCGATCGAACTTCTCAACAGTTTGCCCAAACCATGTCGATTCTGTAATTTGCTCTGATTTGGGACTATTTCTTGCGGCTTTGGCGGTTTGGTGATTGGTAGCGCCGGGGTGCAGGTGGCGGCTGCAGTGGTGTGGTGGCTGGAGGTTGCGATTGTAGGTGGTCTATGGTGTGAGAAATGGATTGGTGGGATTGCGGTGATGGTGGTGGAGATTGATGGTGGTTTCGGTGGCTGGTGCGAAGGTGGAGGTTGTGATGGTGGATTTGCGGTCAATTAGGGCTGCTATGGTGGCTTAATTGTTGCAGGTTGTTGTCGTGGCCGGTAATGGTGGTTGTAAGGTGGTGTGAGAAGTGACTAGGGACAGGAGCAGGGAGTTATGCGGCTGGTTTTGTGCGTGAGGGAAGGTGGAGATGCGGACTGAGTTGGGCTGCTGCTTGATGGTGAAAAGGTGCAGCCCTAAAACAAAGAAACTAAGCTAAAACATACTAAAATTATCAAATAAAATAGAAACTTTATTAAAGAGAAAACAAGAGAATAAAAGGGAAAATTAAGTGAAAATAAACACGAAAAAAACTCTAAAACTACTCCCTAAGAGTGACATAAATGACACTCATCAAACAGCTATCATGCAAGCATTGGAATGACACCGTTTGAAATTTTGTATGGTCGGAAGTGTAGAAGCTAAGCCTAGTTTGCTGGAATGATATAAGTGAGCCTATGGTACTTGGGCCAGAAATGATTGAGGATATGGTGAAGCAAGTTAAGTTAATCCATGAAAAGATTAAAGCAGCCCCAGATCAACTGAAAAGCTATGCTGATTTGAAAAGGAGGAAGGAAGAATATGAAGTGGGAGAGAAAGTATTGTTGAAAATTTCACCCATGAAAGGTGTAATGAGGTTTAGGAAGAAGGGAAAGCTAAGCCTAAAGTACATAGGGCCATATGAGATCATCCAGCAGTGGGAAAAGCGGCTTATAATTTGGATTTTCCCAGTGAGCTGTAAAGGGTTCACAATGTGTTCCATGTGAGTCAAATTCGAAAGTATATTCTTGATGTGACCCATGTGTTGCAACCAGAAACCATTGAGATGGATGAGAATTTAACCTATGAGGAAAGACCAGTAAAGATTCTGGATTCTAAAGTGAGGAGCATAAGGAACAAGGATGTGAGTATTGTGAAAGTGTTGTGGTCGAATCAGAAAACTAAGGAGGCTACATGGGAAACTGAGGCTGATATGAGGAAACGTTACCTAGAGTTGTTTACCTAAGGTTAGTGGTCGAGTTACGGGGGCGTAACTCCTTTTAAGGGGGGTAGAGGGCGATAGAGTTTCACGCGTTTGCTTTTCGAGTCATTTTTGAGTGATTTTGAGTCTTTCTTGAGTTTGGTTGGAGTCTTAAGTCAAGTTAGGATGTGCGTGAACCAAAAATTTAAAATGATTTTCGTTTCTCTTTTGGCTAAGTTTCGGGTCAAAACTTCTTTTAAGGAGGGTAGACTGTAATACCCCGTATTTTGATATGTATTTCCTAAATTAATTAATTAATTATTATTTCCTAAAAAGGGTATTTTAGTAATTTAAATTACTATTTGAATTTTGGCGCCAAAAGTATTTTGAAACCTAATTATTATTTTTAGATTTTGGATAAGATTTATTATCCATTAAATTTATTTTAGAAAACGGATTATTTATATATTTCGGATATTTTAATTAAAGCAAAAACTATATTTTATTATTTAATTAATAAGGTCCAAAAATTCCTAATTATGGACTAAGATTTTCGGATTTTCCTAGTGTGGAAAATTTGATTTTCTAGGTTAATTTATTTAGTGAATAATTGGTATTATATTAATTAATTATTTTATATAATAAATATTAGGAAAAATTGCTTTAAATAATACGACCTTTAGCCCGTCCGCTAAAAACAAGTCCACCTTTTGATTATCCCAGAATAATACCACCTTTGGGGGGTGTCCGCTTTAAACAGGTTATGTTACCTACAACCCGAGTAAATAAATTCATTTAACAATGTAATTAATCTTAATAACAACTTTAATTATGATTTTATTAACAATTAAATCAAAAAACAAAAAAAAAAAAAACAAAAAAAAAATCAGCCCCTTCCTCCTTCCCCCCGACCTCCTCTTGCCCCTGCCACCCATCACCCCCTCCCTTACCACCGCTCCCCCACCACTCCCTTACTTACCCACCTTTTCACCTTCTCTCCTCCTCCTTACTCCTCCTCCTTATCCATGTCAATGCAGCCAACCCCACCACCCCTTAAACAACCCCCGTCCCCACCACCATTGTAACACTTCGGTCCCACTCAACAAATCGCACAACCAAAATACTCCCCTGCTCCCTCGATTTCCCCACCTTTGCACACTCAAATCAACACCATCAGCAACCCAATTACAGCAAAACAACAGCAACTCAGCACACAACAGCAAAACACTCCCTTGCTCCATACACCCATTCTCTCTACTCCACACCACTTTTCCATTTGGGCAATAATTTTGCTCGTATAAGAGCAAGTGATTTTTTTTACAAACACTTCTGAGTAACAACAATCAGAAAAGAGTAAGCTAACAACAAGACCGTGCTACATAACACAAAACAACCTTATAATCTATAATTACACACACCATGAACATTATGCAACTATAATTGTTTAGGGTAAAAATACCCTATGCCACGTGGCCCAGTAGAATCGTGACACGTGGCAGCCCACCAGAGGCCCAACAGGATCCAATCGGATGCTGACACGTGGCATCAAAACCCTAATCAGGGAACATGTCTCCCCCACTATAAATAGAGCAATCCTCCTCATTTATTGGGTATTCATAAATACATACACAAAACCCGAGCAATATTAATTGCGGAATCTCTCTGAATCAGCGAGAAATACCTATTTACCTTCCGCACATTTACCTATCCGTCAATCATACTAACCTGATCGTTAGAGGCGAAACTCCACCCAACCGGAGTTTCGTGGTTTTGCAGGTACAGAAGTCAGGCGCGCATACTCCGTATTGTAACTCTCCCGAGGGACTAAAAACACCCGAAACATTTGGCGCCGTCTGTGAGGAGAGTACTACTGAGATGGCATCTGATGATGTACCGAATGCAGAGGGCAGCCGGCCTTCGGCTGACCCTGAGGTCCATACGGACCATGAGGGTGGCATTGGGGACGACTACGACGTCGAAACCTACATGGCCCCAGACGGGTCATTCCGTTCTAGGCGCACCCGTTCCAAGGAAACAAGGGAACGGGGTCACGACAAAGTTGGTCCCAGCAACCCAGGCGGCAAGCCTGTGGGACAACCCCAGGCGGCGGAGGGTGCTGCCCCCGTCACCAGAGACGAACTCATGAACCTCATGACTAGTCTTAAGGGGGAAATCAAGGATATAATCAAGAAGTCAGCTGGCTCCAGCAAGGGTCAGTCGGCAAAGAAGCCTTCTCCCTCCGGGAAGAAGAAAATCAAAGATCGGGTGCCTACTCCGCATCCCAAACCTAAGGGGACGGATGGGCCCCTGATCGATCTTTCGAAATTTCGTTTCCCCGAAACGGGGCAACGGAAGGCCATCCGGCATACACAGCCGGATGGGTCAAAGAAGACTTTCTCTAACGCCCGGTTGTTCATCCGGGAGAAGAGAAGTTAGAGCATGTCTCAGTCGGCCTCAACATCGACCTACTCAGACAGTTTCCGAAATGCTTCAATGAAGCATTCGGAGACGCAGCAGGGGAGTCAGTCACGCAGTATATCTGCACGTACTGGCCCTCAAGTGATCCAGCAGCAGGCCCCGTATGTGCCCCAACAGCCATACGTCCCGTATGGATCTCCATTCATGCAGTCGGCACCTTATGGGGGTCAAGCGATCTACCAGGTCCAACCCATGGACTAGCAGCTCCGACTGCTAAACCTTGGGGAACAGCCTTCGGCTTTCTCCCGGGAGATAACCAAGGAGGTGCAACCGACCAAAGTTAAGAATGTGTTGGTTGATGCCTACGACGGTACCACCAACCCAGAAGACCACCTAATGGCATACACCAACCTCATGTACCTACAGGGGTTGGATGACGCCGCCTGGTGTAGATGCTTCCCGGCTACATTGAAGGGGATAGCCCAGCGATGGTTCGGCAACTTGCCGGCTGGGTGCATCAATAACTTTAAGACGCTTGCATACCTGTTTGCGTCTAACTTTTCCATGAATATCCCTGCTAAAAAGACAAGTCTCGACCTAGGGGCTATCCAGCAGGGTGACAAGGAGGGACTTCGATCCTATGTCAGGCGGTTCAATCTGATGAGAATTCAAATTCAGGGGCTGTCTGACGAAGTTGCATATACAGACTTCTTCAAGGGTCTGAAGGATGGGTCAGCTTTCAAATTTGACCTGGTCCGCAAGAGGGTAGCCACCCTCCAAGAGGCGCTGATGGAGGCGGAGGCCTACATACAGGAAACTGAGCTCTACTCTATCAAGCATCCGTCGGAACCCAAGCGGTCCGACAGGAGGGACAGCCGGCCTAACCAGCCGGCCAAAAAAGAAGAAAATAAAAGAAAAGAAGTCTGGGCAGCTGACCGCCCAGGTTAGCCGTCCCAGAAGAAGCAAAGGAAGTTGGAACCGTACGTCCCCAAGTATGAGTTCAACAAAGATTGCTCCTCCATCCTCATGGAGATAAAGGGCCGGTTGACAATCGAAAAACCGGCTGTAATGAAAAGCTCTGTCAAGAACAGAGACAAAAGCAAGTATTGCCAGTTCCATGGGGACGTCGGCCATGACACCAATGGTTGCTATAGCCGCAGGCGGCTATTGGACCGTTTGGCTGATGAAGGGGCCCTAGAGTCCTATCTGCTGAAGTCCAAGGGCAATCCCAAATCAAGTGGGGGACAGCCGTCCAAGAAACCGGCTGCTAGCTCTGAAACGGATGAAGAGCATATCTTCACCATTGCAGGCGGCTTCGCAAGTGGAGGACCTACTATCCGGGGTGCCAAGGATAACATCCGGAAATTATCCAACCCAGAAGATGAGGGCCAGGCGTCGAAAGACACCTTCCCTAAGGTCTTCATCTCTGAGAAAGATAGGGGCATGGTCAGGCGGCCCCACGATGACCCCCTGGTCATCGAATGTAAAGTAGCCAATCAACGAGTTGGCCGGATCTTAATCAATACCGGGAGCTCGTCTGACCTAATCAGTTACCAGTGCTTGGTAGGCGTGTCGCGTACCTATCAAAAATAACCTAACAGACCAATACTAATGTAGACTGGCAAGTAAGGGTCGGATCCCAATAGACTAAGGTTCAAAAATAATTAAATAGACTCGAATTTCTACTAAGAAAGAATCAATTATAATCAATAACTAAGGATCTAAAATTTAGGAAAAATTCGAAAATAAACTAATTAAGATGATTAAATCAAGCAATTAAAAACATCCAAGATCTAGCTTCACCACAACTATTATCGATGCAATTGTAATTCTACCCTTAACATACGATTTCAATTAAACGGGGAAAAGTAAACCCTAATAAATACCAAGGATCTCTCTCGAGTATCAATGGCTTCCCTAACATACAATCAATCCTATTCTCATGGTATCATGCATATTAGAGACATTAAACACATTACTCTCACTTCCCAATTATCAAACCCAACTACTCTCGTGTTGAGAATCAAACCCTAAATTGATTTACTCAAATCCGTTTATACCCAACTCTCGCTGTGATAAAAACAATGGAATAATCGCAATACTATAGTTACGTCTAACCTAGCATTGGCATAATCACAATCAATTTAGCAATTCAATTGTTAAAGTTGTCAAAGAATTTAAAGATTTAATTCATGCATCAACAATAATAGGGCTACACTAGATCTTGAATTAAAGAATCTACTCACACATGATTAAAGAAACAAAAACAATAATAAATAATGAAAACATAATTAAATAACAAAGTATGAGAAATAAATACCAAATCTTGAATAAAATTGAAAGTAGAAAGCTTGAATCTTGAATCTTGAATTACAAAACTTAGAAAAATAGATGGAGAACTAGTTCTTAATGAGAGAATAAAAATAATATAAGGCTTAATGAATAATCAAGAAAAATAAGGCTAAAAAGTATTTATATGAGCCTAAAAAGATAAGAAAAACGGCTAAGCCTTGGCGCACAAGAATCCCAAGAGGCACGGACGTGCCTAGTGTGAGGCACGGACGTGCCTCACTAAAAATAAAAACGCTGCTGAGTCTGTCTTCCAGGCACGGACGTGCTTGATGCTG